AAAAAAAAAAAAAGAAAGAACAACTTAGTAAAAGTACAGTACTACTACTGTGTACCCTGCCACACCTAACAAGGTGTGTCAAGACAATAAATAAAATAAACATGTTACATGTTAAAATGAACATGTTAACTTTATTATTACCTTCGCACACCTAGCAAAGATGTGCCAAAACACATCTAATTATTTGCGGGTAAAAGTATGTCCTAGCATAACAAAATAAACATTTTTATTTTATTTATATAGTAAAGACTCTTACAACGTGGTTGACTGGTTGTTGACTCAAGTGAAAACAAGTTTAATCCTCAAAACCAACAAAATCCAATGGCACCTCTATAGTTAAAAAATAAGCAGCAGCTCATACAACTCTCTGCTTCGCTTACTCAACCCTTCCATGGCGATAATCTTCCTCATTATCATCATCTCCTCCATCTTCTCGCTTCAGCTGCTCGTCCGAAAACTGCACAAGAAGCAATTAAAGCCAAAGTACCATCCAATTGGCGGCACTGTGCTCACTCAGCTGGTGAATTTCAGCAGGCTGCACGATTACATGTCCGACCTCGCTGGAAAGTACAGAACTTACCGGCTGATTAGCCCGTTGCGCAGCGAGGTTTACACCTCCGATCCGGCTAACGTCGAATATATGCTAAAAACGAATTTCGAAAATTACGGCAAGGTAGTACCCGAAAATGGGCTTTTCATTTTTCTCGAATTTTCAGTTTGTATTTTCGTGTTGAATTTGCCAACTGCTGATGATAATTCTATTGTTAATTGATTTGTTTTTTAATTGCTTTTTTTTTTTTCTGTAGTTGCTGGCTGTAAATGAGATCTGAGAAAAGCAAATGTAATTGAATGTTGAGATTGAGAATCTTGTAATGTGGAGAAATATTGAATTTTGAGTCCCTTAAAAATGACATGCCCAAAATTTGTCTGCAAAAAGGTTTGGGGGATTTGAACCTATCGTTAAAAATCAGATTTTATGAGCAACTTAAAAATTTCCAGCAAATTGTGCTCTAAATCTGAGAGTTTCTCAAGTGATTACGCCGAAAAAAAGTGTGATGGTTTTACTGTTCTTATATTGTAAAGAGACTAAATTGCAACATAATTTTAGAAACTATCTGGCCGAGAAGATTAAAGAAGAGGGCAAGGACAGACGAAGCCAGTGGGCATTTCAGTTTTATTGTAGATGAAGTTTGTTGTCTGTGAGTGCTGATAAGAGCATGCTTATGTCTGTACCACGCATTGTTTAGAGAGTTAATATAGGAGCTTGAGATTCTGTACTGTCTATGATCATTGCAGGGAGATTACAATTCCAGCATTTTAAGGGATCTACTGGGTGATGGAATTTTCGCGGTTGATGGTGACAGGTGGCGTCAGCAGAGGAAAGTGTCGAGCTACGAGTTTTCGACAAGGGTTCTGAGGGATTTTAGTAGTGTGGTTTTCAGAAAAAATGTCGTCAGGCTGAGTAACATATTGTCTCAAACAGCAACTTCCAATGAACCAGTGGATATCCAAGTCAGTTTCTCAAAGTAGACACTTCTTATTCGTATTGGTAAAACTCCATTTATCCTTTCAAACTATCGAAATGCCCCCTCGAAAGAAGCCACTAACTAGAACAGTGTATTTCGATATTTTGAGGATAGATTATTTTTCCCCCATAATTTGGTCGACCTGGGGGATGGTTTTGTAATTTTTTTCCAAACTGATTGTGATGATCCATGCAGGACCTTTTCATGAAGGCGACTCTGGACTCGATATTTCGAGTTGCGTTTGGGGTGGAATTAGACACAATGTGTGGTTCTAATGAGGAGGGTAAGAACTTTAGCACTGCTTTCGATAATGCGAGTGCCTTGACGCTGTGGAGATATGTGGACCTTATGTGGAAGATAAAGAAAGTTCTCAGAATAGGTTCGGAAGCCAAGTTGAGGAATAATGTCAAAGTGGTTGATGAGTTTGTGTACAAGTTGATTTCGAGTAAAACCGAGAAAATGAACAATTCACATGGCGATCCTTCGGTAGGTCAATTAACACGGCTTCTTCTTCCGCAGCTAAAAGGGTTATCTATATCTATCTATCTATACTACTTTAAAAGGAGGAGTGTTTTTGTAAAAATTCATAATGCCTAAAAAGCCCTTACTTTGACATAAATTTAATGACAAATTAGTAATACACTAATACACATCATATTTTATTTATATTTTTATTTTAAATTAAAAAATGAACTACCTAAAAAACTCTTACTTTCACATGTTTTTAATGGCAAATTGGTAATATACTAATATCATCATATCTTATATCCTCCCTATATATAATTAAAAAAAAAAAAACATAACTTTTCTCAATTCAACATAAGCAAATCAATGAAAATAATATATTTTTAAAAATTTTATGAACAAAAGTTGACTCGACAATATTATTAATGAATTTATGAATTGTAAATATTTAAACTAAATATTAATTAAAAAATTGTAATTATATATATAATATAATATAGAATATACAAATATTTGATATATAATGTGGCAGATGATCGAAAAATTTTTATACTTTATATTATGTCTTTTTTGACAAATCTATAGTTAAGAACATTTGAAAGAACAAGATAAAGTTTTAAAAAAATATTAAATATAAGAAATAATATGAATAATAACTAGTGACACGTACTAATAAATATAAAACAAACTAATAAACAAAAAATATAATTAATATATCTAAATATAAACCTTCGAAAAATATACTTATCGATGTGATCGAACTGAGTTGTTAAACGCTTGTTAACGCTTGTTAGTTTTTTTTTCTTATTACTTTTATGTGCAAATTTGAGTTGATAGACAATAATTATTTGTACATTTATACATGTAGATTAGAAAAAAATATCTTTATTATTCTAATTTTAAATAACTTTTTTATTTACTATATTAGATTTTTTAATATAATATATAAGTACCATATTGAACAGATAAAACAAGAAATATATTAATTATATAATATTTAATATGTAAGAATTGTAACTCAATTGGTAAATTAATAGGTAATCTTGGGATAAAATAATGAGTGATTTATGAAAAAAAAATTATAGGAACTAAAAAGTTCACGTGTTTAATATATTTTTAATAGAAAAATATAAACACAATTACTCAATAAATACTACATAAAAAATATAAGAAATCTTAAATCCTCCTTATATGTAATTAAAAAACATAACTTTTCTCAATTCAACATAAGCAAATCAATGAAAATAATATATCTTTAAAATTTTTATGAACAAAAGTTGACTCGACAATATTATTAATGAATTTATGAATTGTAAATATTTAATTAAAATATTAATTAAAAAATTGTAATTAAATATAATATAATATAGGATATACAAATATTTGATATGTAATGAGGCAGATGATCGAAAAAATTCTATACTTTATATTATGTCTTTTTTGACAAATCTACAGTTAAGAACATGTGAAAGAACAAGAATAAAGGTTAAAAAAAATAT